TAACCCACGATTCGGATGGGAGAATCTTGCAGGGTGTTAGTACGAGGCACCTGAAGGTGTTTCTATCTTATTGCGTGACTCAAAATACTAGAACTGGGATGCCGCAGATCTCACTCGGTTGTCTCAAAGTCGAGTACTGCTTTCGCCTGCTCGCCATGCGTGTGTTTTGGAGGCGCCTAAAAAATAGTAGGACTAGCTAACATGTTGGCGGCACGATGCCGCATAACTCACTCGGTAATCTTGAAGTCAAGTACTACTTTTGCCAGCACACCAGGCGTGATGCGTCCCTTGTACCGGGCAGGAGCAAGTTTCGCCACAATGTGTGCTGAGACGGGATTGGGTGGGTCGACAGAGGAACAATTTGGAATCGGGGTGATACTCAAGTCTCCGTGTACCAGTCAGGACTAAGGGTGCGCCGAAATTGGATGTACTACACCTTTCATACAATCCTCCCTTGAGAAATCATGTCACGCATAGAAATCTCGTCGGTACCAGGAGTCGTCAGAATCCGATGGGTCTGGTTCGTCTGTCCAAAGACCGTTTCGGCACTCGCTACGCCCAAGAAGTGCACCGCACCTACTGTAGACATAGATAAAGGTACACACACAGAGACGCCTATCATAAGAAGACGAGGGTAAGACCATCATGGCGGACAGCGTAATCCCACCTGCTGTACACGCATAGACGTCAGTGGTAAGATAACGCCAGCAAAAAAGGTTAAGGGTATGGCAGCAAAAAAGGGTTCAGACCCTTAAGACGGGACGGATGATCTGAAGCGAGTGGTACTCACAGCAAGAATCGAGGACCGCGGAATCGAGTATGGGACGGACGGCGTGAATGTCGGTGTGAGCGAGTGCACTCACAGAGCAGCAAGAGGAGAGCCTTCCTTGCCATAGTAGTAGTAGCCAGATGATGTCGATCGAGCGTTTAATGAAGAGGAAAGGAGGCTCAGATGATAAGTCTGGGAGCTCAGAGAAACTGTGAAGAATATGACTCTGCTAGGCTGATGGAAGGAATATGTAGTAATCACAGCCCCCCAAGTCTGAGACGTCTCCACTAGGTGTCTCAACTCACCTCAACTCACTTCGACCCAACGTCGCGTCTCAACTCAAAGCTCGTCTTATCTCGGAGCGCGTTCAAAAATAAAGCGCGTAGCACACGTCTCTCATTCTATTTAGACCGTTTGTTACGGTACCGTATTTTTCGGTCATTTAATGGTTCAAAACGGTTTTGAAAGTTGGCCATTTTTGTTGAAAAAACGGTCGTTTTATACGGTCGAAATTTTAAAACCGTGGGTGTACAGCAGAAATTCGAATTTGATACTGACCCAAACCGTCCGCGAATGTTCGGTCAACACATTCCCGAAGCACGAAATTTCGTTCGACCCGAGGCGCGCATTTTTGACTTTTTCGCCAAACCCATTGCGAAACCAAAATTGGTTTCGCAACAGGCTGGCGATTTCAATCGCGCGCAATAACGGGATGTCGCGAACTGGGCGACTCCCGCAGCCGAGTCGCATTTCGAAATCGCAATTTAAAGCCCGTGTCTACATTTTTGGTTGCTGTTTTCAAATCAAAAACATTTGAAAGAGGGTAACCTAATAAACTGAGCTACTTAGCCGCTAACTCGCCCAAACCCTTAAAAACATTTGAATCCGGCCTCGATCACAATTGTGTACAGATTTGGCTTACCCCAGGATTTCGATCCCCCTCCCCCTCCAATTGCGATTCCCCCTCCCCCTCCAATTGCGATTCCCCCCTCCCCCCTCCAATCGCAATTCCCCCTCCCCCTCCAATTGCGATTCCCCCCTCCCCCCTCCACCCTCCAATTTCGATTCCCCCTCCCCCCTCCAATTTCGATTCCCCCTCCCCCCTCCAATTGCTCTTCCCCACCCCCCCCTCCAATTACGATCCCCCCTCCCGCCTCTCCCCAAATTTCGGTCCCCTCGTCCCCCTCGAATTCCTCTCCCCCCTCCAATCTCGCAACTCTCGCTTCTCGATGCTTGCGAATTCCGCATTCTCTGTCGTAAGCCAATCACGCAAAACCAGGCCCACAGATCCTAAAGCTACACCACGAACCCCCTCAAATGTAGTCGCCGGCTTTAACCCCTCCCAACCCGTTCTTGCAACCCCAACCCAACTAAACCTTACACAGCAGCAACAGGGAGCATTCATTAATCTAACATTCTGGAAGTAGTGGCTTAAAGCCAGGGTCTCAAGTACCGAGATCTGGCAGCAACTGCAAAACAGTTGCTGTATGGTTACCCCATTTTTTAGTGCGCGAAATCACAATTTGCCCGCTGTGCGACACAACCCCTTTTGCCCCACGACCATTTGCAAAACAACTTCTAGGTACTCGAGACTTTTGAGTTTCCACGAGGGTTTGCGACCGTTGTAGGCTTGGTAATCGAACCAAGCCCGTGCCTAGCTGAATCGGTTTTGTAAAAACGAAACCAAATCGAACTCGCCACCTGTCGTCAAATCTCCAACCAAACTTTGCGCATCGCAAGCCAATGCCAACCAGCCCCTGACTCCAACTGCAAAACAGTTGCGGTACTTGAGACCCTGGCTTTAACTCCGCCAAGCCAGTGTGGCTTGTTGTGATATAATTGATACTTAGCATTTCTGTAAGTCGATTAAGTGTAGTTAGTGTCGAATAATACTGTAGAAGATAAGTCCGTTAGTATGACGTCAGCAAATAGCACTCGTCACATGACAATCATTTCAGTCACGCGAACAGTCGCATCTCTTCATTATCATCTAGGGCGCATAGCGCGATAGTGACGAAAAGGTACATTAGCGAATAGGTACTTTTCCTAGAACTATAAATCCTTGTTAGGTCTTTTTCATTATTAACTTTGCTTACTCACAAGTTCACATACTCAGGTTATTCAACCTTGACCTTTACATTTTACAAGACTTCCGCTGTCTTACTAGTCTACCATTCCAGCAAAGATCCTGGACCAACACTTGAGGATTTGCCAAGTGTTCGCATCTGTAGTTTTATACTTAGTCTCTTACAACATCAGACGATATATTTCATGGTATGAGAGCTATCTGGAATTAAGACTACCGTCAACTATGACTGGTTCATCACCAGCACCATCTGCCGGATCTGTTACCGGAACTACTGGAGCACATGTCTCCTCTACCGCCGCTGGTCTCTCAGCCTCTGGGCCATTTCCACAAGCCTATGCTAATATCGGTATGCAACAGCAGAATCCGCCTTCAGTAAATACTCCAAGTGCTCCATCGACTACACCTGCAGCACAGCAACAAGCGTCAGTATAGCCACTAGTTTCAACGCAATCAATTTCATCTGCGTTCAGTGGAATGAGCCTTGACGGCTCGAGTTACATGCGTGGAGCTACAGCTCCAAGTACTGGTTCGTTTGCTTTCTCACCTTTCGTACAGCAGCCGCAGTCACAGCAGTTTCAGCATCCCTTCTACATCTTCAGGCGTTCGCCTGCTCAGCAACCACAGCAAGTTCAGCAACAACAACAACAACAGCAACAACAGCAACATCAACAACAGCCGGGCATTGTCTTTCAGCCTCCAAATTTACTTAACAATACTCAAATCAAGACGAGCATACCTTTTAACGGAGTCGACTTCTACTCATGGAGCTTTGAGTTTGAGCTTCTGGCGCAGTCCGCTGGGCTATGGCCGTTCTTCACTGGCGAATTCACGTACCCTGTCGCGGGAACACAACTGGAGCAGCAGAGTTTCTTGCACGCCTCTCTCGGGGCGTATACAGTTCTTGTACGGAACTTGTCACCGAAGGAGCAGCTCGGCGTTCGATCGTTTCACTCAAGTTTTACACCAGCCGAAACTGCATGGAACCATCTGAAGGGGGTATACATGGCAAAGGATACAATAACTGTGAGTAAAATACTTTCGCAGCTGTCAAGTGTGCAGATGATGACAAATGAAAACGTCATGGACTACGTCAACCGTGTCCGTACACTACGTGACCAACTGGAGAAGAGCGGAGGATACTTCCCTCGTGAGATGTATCTCACAGTCCTTCTGGCTGGCCTTGGACCCGAATGGCGATAGACGCGCGCCTTCCTACGAATGAACCCGAACATCTCCGAAGCCGAAATCTCTTCTTATCTTCAAGCAGAGCAACAAGAGCTTGACCTGCAGTTACAGCGCAATCAGAAAAAGGGGGTTCATTTTAAGTTTCTACTCCAATCCAGAACCCAGCATCGACATCCACCGAAGTATCCATTCTGCAATTTCTGTAAAAAACCAGGACATACTTACCAAAACTGTCCCAGCCGTCATCAAAATTGTTGCAGCACTTCACAACCGTATCAACGATCGCAGCAGTTACCGAAGACACAACAGTCACAGCAGCAGCAGATGCCGAAACCGCAGCAGAATCCATCGACGTCGCAGCATCGGCCGCCGGTCTTTGCATCTGCCACATCAGGAAAAGGGGTCTTTGGATGCGTCACCACAGTTGATGTTTCAGAAACAAATTTCGAAACACGACTTGAAGAAACAACAAGTGCTGAAGGCATTCCTTTACCTCAAGTTTACGCTAACCTTGCTCGCATAATTTCAGGTCCGAATACTTGGTATCTCGACAGCTGCTGCGGTTGGCACATGTGCTCCGCAGAAACAAGCTTCATAACCAACCAGCGTCCACTTCGTCGACCGATACCTGTCACAGTCGCAAACGGACAAACGATTATGGCACGTTCTGTTGGAAGCGTAATGCTCGAATCTATCGACACGGGATACTCACTACATGTTACCAATGTTCTTATCGTCGCTGGTCTTGGCTTCAATCTTCTTTCAACGGCTCAACTTCTGGCACACAAAATCCGCACATAGGGCAATTGTGACATGATGGATCAGGAGCTCTGGCACAGTTCAACGAATACTTATCTTGGTCGTGCCGCCACTCAACATGGCCTGTCAGTTCTTCAGTTCGCAGCACAGGGAACTTCTGGAGATTCTGAACGCATGCTTGCACTTGGTCCCTGGGATCACCCAGGAGAAACAGATTATCAACACGTGGATATTGATTTTCGAGCAACTACTGTACCAACAGCTTCTCGAACTGCAGCCGCTGTACTTCCCGCGTTGGATACTTGGGAGTTCAATACCGCCGATGAAGGTGCCACTGCGTGGCGAACGTTTTATAATACCCGTGCCGCCTTCCAAGGAACTCCAGCACCCCTTTGGGGAGAAATTAGTGGACTAGCAGCTGATGAACCTGACGTCGTTGAAGAAACCAAAAAGGAAGAAGTAGCTGAGCAGCCGAGTCCAACAGTAGCTGTCGCCGAAACTTCTGCCACAACATCAACAGAAGCAGTGTCAACAATTGTACTCGCAACTACAGCAGCGCCTTCAAATGTCACGTTACCTCTTACCCGTTTCGTCGAAGGAGAGATTGAAAGTCACCAGCACTTTCTCATTTCATTCTTTCTTCTTTTTATACTAACTCCGATTTCTACCTGCGCTCATCAGGACACAAAGCCACAGCAGATATATGGCATCAGCGGTTAGGCCACCCATCACAAGGGATACTTAATCATTCAATCCGAGCAGCATTTCTTGATAAGAATAGTCTACTTTTACCTGACGGCACGGAGCTGAAGCCGCAGTCTCGACCGACAGTTTGCACCACCTGTCCGGTTGCCAACCTTACCCACGATCCGTTTCCAAGCCACTTTCCTGGTTCAACTCGTTACAAACTGATGCAGAAAGTCTACAGCGACATACTAAACTTACCTGCAGCAGGACCTCAAGACGAGAAGTATGTCATAACATTTATCGAAGCATCTACATGCTATGTCTGGATAACAAATCTTCCCGCGCGTTATCTCGCGCACTCCGTTTTCGTCGCGTGGCTCGCTGTCGCTGAAAGAGAGTCTGGCGTGAAACTGCAAGAATTCCAGAGCGACGGTGCAGGGGAGTACACAAGCAACACTTTCACAGAATACCTTCAAACCCTCGGCATCAAACGGAAGCAGTCTTTGCCGCATGCACACCTACAGATGGGGGTAGCAGAAAGGATGATCAGGACTCTGCAGGAGAAGATGCGTGCTCTGCTGACGCATGCAGCACTTCCAGCGCGTTTTTGGCCGTATGCGATGGACCACGCCGTACTGTTACACAATCTTCTTTCTTCAACGTCCCTGCCCGAGTTTTCTTCTCCGCACCTGCAGTGGACACGTACATTGGGAAACACCAAACTTTTACGAGTTTTTGGGTGTGTTGTACAATTTCGTCCTCCAACTGCGGCCCTCGGCAAATTTTCCGAACGAGCAAAATGGGGGGTACATCTCGGCATCGAAAAACAGTGTCATGCATGGAAGATTTTGGACCTTCGCTCCAACCAAGTCGTCCCATTCCGTGATTGTCTTTTTTACGAACGACTCACCTTGCTCGTTTTTCGTGCCCACCAAGCAGCAGCTGCCAACCCCGCCAGGCTGTTCCAAGGCTCGCGTGCATTTGCAACTGACGAGGCTGAAGCTGATGTACAGGACGAAGCAGTTTCTGAAGCATCCGAAGCTGCCGCAATTGACAATCCCGAACCTGTAACCTCGACTGGCATACCACAGTTTATTCCGCTTGCAGATGCTGACCCAAATGACGTTCGCGAAGTCCGTCTCAGTTACGAACGCGATCGCCAACAGCAGCCGATGCCCGCCGTCTCGGACGAAGCAGTTCGTGTTACACCTGACTTAATTGGGGGGGAAGAAGGAGCAGAAGAAGTAGAAAATTTCGCAGGTGCAAACAAAGAACGTCCACGTTTTACAGAAACAGGATTACAGATACTGGGATTTGCAGTAGAAGTACAGTGCAACAACAGTAAGATACCTGAACCGAAAACCGTCCGACAAGCTCTTACGAGCCCTTACCGAGAGAAATGGCGCGAAACCATGGACAGAGAGCTAGCAGCTCTCAAGAATCGCGGAACATGGGATTTAATACCGACTTCAGAAGTAAAAGGGAAGAAGGTACTTACTTACCGGAAAATGGGTCTTCCGCGTCAAGACTAATGCATATGGGTCGTTTGAAAAGTTCAAGGCGCGATGGGTCGTCCGCGGATTCGAACAGACTTACGGCATCGACTATGAATTAACTTTTGCTCCTGTCGGCCGACATACAAGCGTTTGGATTCTACTCTGTGTCGCTGCCTGCCGTAATCTGCGACTTCGACAAATCGACGTATCAAATGCATTTCTCTACGCGCCCGTCGACGCACTCATCCTGGTAGAGTACCCACATTCCTATGTTACTAACCCACCGAGCATATGCCGTCTACAAAAATCCCTGTACGGCATTAAACAGGCACCACGGCTCTGGCAGAAATACCTCCACTCACAACTGATTACTGCCGGATTTCGACAGTTACCGCATGACCAGGGAATGTATCTTCTAAACGACGGCAGCAACTACATTTTACTCGTCGCCTACGTCGATGACATCCTCTTCGTTAGCACTATCGATTCCCTTGCCGATAACTTTATACTGAAATTACAGAAAACTCTACAGCTTACCGTCTCCGAAACAGTCTCACAGTTTCTTGGTCTGAATATTAGCTGTTCACCGACGACTATTCATCTCACCGCTTCGAAGTACGTAGCAACGCTCGCTGCCCGCTTCAACCTCACACCTACTGCAGTCTCTACACCGTACCGCTCACTACCGACTGACTACAAACCGAACATTGCATTGTTAACCTCAACTGGTTTACAAATCTATCAACAGCAGTTAGGCTGTCTACTCTTCGCCGCTGTCACATGCCGTCACGATCTAGCCTACACGGCCAGTCAGCTCGCTCAGTTCCTCCGCCGTCCCGAAAAAGAACATCAACTTGATCTTCTCCGTGCGCTTCAGTATTTCATCTCGACACCTAACATCGGTTTAGTCTACAACGTCATCGATTGCAAAACACTATATCTACACGGTTTCGTCGACGCCGATCACGCTGCTGACACTACTAACCGACGGTCGCGCACTGGATTCATATACCGGCTTGAACCTATCGGACCTATTTCTTGGAATTCGACAAAGCAGGAGTTGATTGCTCTCTCCTCTGCTGAAGCTGAGTTTATTGCTGTCTGCACAGCAACACGCGAAGGACTTTACTTACAGGAACTATTGGAAGAAGCGAAGTTGACGACGACTACCCAGTTTACCCTACAGTGCGATAATCAAAGTGCAATTCGTATCGCACATCAGCCTGGTTTCGTCAACAGGATGAAACATATTTCTCTGCGTTATTTTTTCGTCAAGGACGAAGTCGAGAAGGGGAGAATGCGATTGGTCTACTGTTCGACCAACGAAATGGCTGCCGATTTCCTCACGAAGAAGCTGACACGACAGAAGTTCTAGTACTGTAACAATCTCTGCAGAATCTTCAAGAAGTGACACTATCGAACTTCCAGAAATGAAGGGGAAGTGTTGTGATATAATTGATACTTAGCATTTCTGTAAGTCGATTAAGTGTAGTTAGTGTCGAATCATACTGTAGAAGATAAGTCCGTAAGTATGACGTCAGCAAATAGCGCTCGTCACAGGACAATAATTTCAGTCACGCGAATAGTCGCATCTCTTCATTATCATCTAGGGCGCATAGCGCGATAGTGACGAAAAGGTACATTAGCGAATAGGTACTTTTCCTAGAACTATAAATCCTTGTTAGGTCTTTTTCATTATTAACTTTTGCTTACTCACAAGTTCACATACTCAGGTTATTCAACCTTGACCTTTACATTTTACAAGACTTCCGCTGTCTTACTAGTCTACCATTCCAACAAAGATCCTGGACCAACACTTGAGGATTTGCCAAGTGTTCGCATCTGTAGTTTTATACTTAGTCTCTTACAACATCAGACGATTTATTTCATGGCTGAACTACTTCACGCCGATTCCAGCGCGTATTTTAGGCGGGATCCAGTGCTCAACAGCCTCGCGACACATAGGCGCCTTATCGCCATGCCACGCGCCCCATCCCCTTTGTGGGCGCATGTGAAGCGTACTCGGGATGACGATGGCAAGGTCATCCGGTCGGAATGCTTGCATTGTGGTTTGAACATTTCGGGTAGTGTGATGCGCATACAAGAGCACCTTTACGGCACCCCTGTATCAAAATTCAATAATATTGCAGAATGCAAATCGACTTTGCAAGGAACCTCCGCGCAAAGGGAGCCTTGTCTTCTACTACAACAGCGACAAACCGTGGGTCGGCGACCGCGGTTGCTGCACCAGGGGGGAAGCGCTGCCGAACTCGCGACATTCGCAGCATGGTGGACAAGGCCGGGCAGGACGCTCTCGATCTCCTTTGGGCGACCGCCATCGTGGAGAATGATTGGGCGTTCCGTGTTTCGCGGTAAGTGCGCCATTTCCTGCCATCCCACCCATTTTCCAGTCTTGAAGACGCTCTCCCGCTGCACTCCCGCCCTCCCCCTTGCCCCTCCCCCCTCCCCCCCCCTTCTCTTACCTCTTGGCACGACATAAGAGGGACCATGCCGTGGCGCCTAAAAATCCAGCACTCTCCCTTTCGGAACCCCACCACTAGGTCGCCTGCTGTCAAAGCGTTCGTGGAGGGGGTGGTCGCATATGGCAAGCCCTACGAGCTGCCAAGTGAGTACAAGGTTACCCATCTCCTCCTCGACAAGCTCATGATCGAGACCGAAGCGCTTATGCGACCCATTAAGGAGCCTTGGGCCTCGACCGGCGTACCTCTGTCTATGGACGGATGGGCCGACCTCAAGAGCAGCGGTCTTGTGTGCATCATCAGCATGAACGGTACGGCGTCGGTAGTGGTCGATGTGGTCGATTCGAAGACCCATAAGAAGATCGGCGCCTGCCTTGCATCGCTCATTCGAGGTGTGATTTGCAAGGTAGGACATACTCGCGTTGTCCAAGTGGTGATGGACAACACGAGCAACAACAAGAGGGCGGCAACCGACCTTGGTGAAGGATTTCCCATGGTATTCTTCACCAATTGTGCGATGCATTGCCTCGACTTGATGCTCGGTGACCTTGGCGCGATAAGCATGGTGCATAAGGGCATGCAACAAGCGCACCAAGTAGTCATGCTCGTGAAGGCTAGCGCCACCGCCGTGACCCTCTTTCGAGAGGTCTTTAGCGAGTTGGAGCTGGTCCATCCCAGGGCAACTCGGTTTGGCACGCAAGTCCTTATGGTCGGCCGTTTATTGGAGGTGAAAAAAAATTGAAGAGCGTGGTGATTAGCGAAGAGTGGACAGAGGTGCCTGCAGCGAAAACAAAGAACAAGAAACAGATTCTAAGCCTTCTCCTAGACGAGGATTTTTTGGACCTGGTGGAGCCGGTGCAAAAGTTGTTGATGCTGATTTATGAGGTGCTTCGGGCGGTGGACACCCGTTCTCACCTCATGGGGCGCATCTATGGCTTGATGCTTGACGCGACAATGAAGACCAACAAGGCCGCGGAGGCTGCAGGTACTTGCTCATCCCCCTACCGCCCATACTCCATTGCGTATCTTTTTTTTTACGGTCGAGGACAATATGCAGCACCTACCTTTCCGGCCCTTACTAACAAGCCCCAAACCGTTGTTCTCGGTTTTTTTTTTCGGCCACATTTTTCATCAAGAGAACGGGGGTGCTCTTGGCCAAGAACAAGGCATTGTTCTTGACCAAGGTGCAAGGGATCATAGCAGTGCGTTGGGACGGCCAACTCCACAACCCGTTCCATGCTGTGGGTTGGCTCCTCAACCCCCTTAACCGCTTTGCCGAGGAGGTGAGGATCAACACGGAGATTGGTAAGGGGGTGAAAAGGGTGACGGAGGCATGGGACCCGGACATTCAGTGCCGCACACTCCCCCAAACCCAAATCGTCCACTACCATAGCGGGGAGGGGACGTTGGGCAGTTTGGAAGCACGGTTGGCCACCACCCACCTTGTGGAGAGCGGGCGGCTCTCGGAGGCGGAATTGTGGACCACCTTTGGAGGGGAGGTGAGGGCGTTGCAAGAGATCGCGGTGAAGGTGCTCTCCCAACCCACGACCGTGTCCGAGGTGGAGCGAGCATGGTCGACGTTCGCACGGGTGCAACATCGAGATCGCAACTGGTTGAATGCCTCCACATTGATTGACGTCACAGTGGGTGGCGATCAGCCGACGCTCGAGAAGGGCTTTTGATACGAAGGTTGCGGCTCGGGACCGCCTCTACCAAGACCTAGGCGCTAGCGTGCTCGGAGAGAGGAGCTCTGGCCCCGCACCACCCACCTCCCAAGAGGAAGAGGGGGGGGGTGAGGAAGTGGAGGAGGAGGAGGAGGAGGTGGAGGGAGCAGTTGAGTGCATTATCGATTGGGAGTCCTTTGGGAGCATCGACGAGAGGAAGGGGAAGACCTTCACCGTGAAGCGTTCGAAGAAGGCAAAGGGCTGGAGGAAAGGGAAGGGGAAGGGGAAAGGGAATGAGAAGGCAAAGGGGAAGGGGAAGGGGAAGGGGAAGGGGAAGGGGAAGGGGAAGGGGAAGGGGAAGGGGAAGAGGGCACGGATGGCGGAGGAGGAGGAGGAGGACAAGGAGGACAAGGAGGAGGAAGTCCGCGGACCATGGGATCTCAGCGTGGAAGAGAGGGAAGGGTTTGGGGGGGGGTCGGCGGAGGAGGAGGAGGACGACAAGGACGAGGAGGAGGAAGAGGAGGAGGAGGCCAAGGAGGAGGAGGAGGAGGAGGAGGAGGAGGAGGAGGAGGAGGAGGAGGAGGAGGAGGAGGAGGAGGAGGAGGAGGAGGAGGAGGATTCGGGGGAGGAGGAGGAGGAAGAGGAGGAGGAGGAGGAGGAGGAGGAGGAGGAGGAGGAGGAGGAGGAGGAGGAGGAGGAGGAGGAGGAGGAGGAGGACGAGGAGGAGGAGGAGGAGGAGGAGGAGGAGGAGGAGGAGGAGGAGGAGGAGGAGGAGGAGGAGGAGGAGGAGGAGGAGGAGGAGGAGGAGGGGGGCATAGGAGGAGGAGGAGGAGGGGGCAGAGGAGGAGGAGGAGGAGGAGGAGGAGGGGGGCAGAGGAGGAGGAGGAGGAGGGGGGCAGAGGAGGAGGAGGAGGAGGAGGAGGAGGAGGAGGAGGAGGAGGAGGAGGAGGAGGAGGAGGAGGAGGAGGAGGAGGAGGAGGAGGAGGAGAAGGAGGAGGAGGAGGAGGAGGGCAGAGGAGGAGGAGGAGGAGGAGGAGGAGGAGGAGGAGGGCAGAGGAGGTGGAGGACGAGGAGGAGGAGGAGGAGGAGGAGGAGGAGGAGGAGGAGGAGGAGGAGGAGGAGGAGGAGGAGGAGGAGGAGGAGGAGGAGGGCAGAGGAGGAGGAGAAGGAGGAGGGCAGAGGAGGAGGAGGAGGAGGAGGAGGAGGAGGAGGAGGAGGAGGAGGAGGAGGAGGAGGAGGAGGAGGAGGAGGAGGAGGAGGAGGAGGAGGAGGAATATGCGGCAGATTCGAGCTTTGGCGGACCTATTTAGTTCAGTTAGGACCACTACAATGCATGCCATAGCCACCAATGGTCGTCTATTTTGTCCCCTTCTGTCCCTGGTTTTTTTTTTTTTTTTTTTGGGGGGGGGGGGGGGGGAAACTCTATAAAAAAAATGGTGTTAAAAAAAACCGTTTTAAACGACCGAAAAAAACGGGCTGCCATTTTTTCCAACCTTGGAAACGAGGCTCCGATGAAAAGGCTGAGAGCTCGGAGAAACTTCGAAGAATATAACTCTGCTAGGCTGATGGAAAGAATATGTAGTAATCATAGCCCACCTCAGTGTGAGACGTCACCACGAGGTGTCTCAACTCACCTCAACTCACCTCGACTCACATCGACTCAACGTCGCGACTCAACTTAAAGCGCGTCTTATCTCGGAGCGCGTCCGAAAATAAAGTGCGTCCCAACTCAAAGCGTGCGGCACACATCTCTCATCCTTTGCCAGTCAGACCGCCTCTAGTCCTGACAGCGGCTTGCACCACGAGGCGTGAGTGGAGAGGTGGTTGGGGAGGGGAAATTGGGTTAGGGGGAAGTTGACCGAATTAGTGGAGGGCGAACAAGCTACGTGAGACCTCGAGAAAGGCAAGTCTCTCCAGGGTACTACTAATAAGGAAATAGTAACACTTAGGACGACATTTTAGGGTTTGCAGGCATGCAGGGGGAACACCGTGGGAAGGGAAAGCGCATAAAAGTTCCTACAAAACTTAGTAAAGCAATGAACTACGCATGGTTTGAAGCACATCCTACGTCGCTCTGCATAGTTCGTATGGCACTTCCTCCCCATGGTGAGGGTTAGTGGAGGGGGGGTACTATGTAAAATTATTGGATCCACACTCGAAATACACAGGGACAAGTTAAACCATACCCAATCCGGTCCGTATGCTTTTCGCGAGTGTTTCGAGCTGTAATGTTCGGGCGGCGAAGACTAGAAAACAAGGACATCACGATACGAGGCCTGAACGCAGCCTTCAAGCTCCGTGGCGCAAATACTGTTGAGGCGGATGGCATGCCCAAGACACTAAGGCGATTTGAGATTTGAACATTGGTGACCAAGCCTAGCTCTCCGAGTGCTCTAGCCTTGACTAGAATCTGAGTAGCACCTGCCGCTCGCACGAAAAACGCGTAACGTCTTGCTGTCGAATCGCCTCGCTTCTCAGCCATGGATTTCATGCTTTGGCAATAGCGGTTGAGCGGAAGGGGGACAACCCCACATTGTATTCACAAAACAGTTGGAGTGGAGGGAGCTACACCCAAGTATTACATTAAATAGCACATATTGGAATCTCATTTTTTTTTTCCAACCACCCCAAGTTTGGGCCAGGTTTGTAATGTCGCAGGGAGGCGGAGTCCCGTCGAACTTGGGTTTCTCGAGCAAGTGACTGTATAGCGTTACAGTCACTTCGCATATCAAACAATCGCTGCCGGCCCAAATGAAACCGGTGGTTTACAAGAATACTTGGGTGTCGCTATCCACCAACAAGCGTCAGCCCTAACCAGCAGCGTCAGATCCGATTGCGAACCGAACCATCTACGCCACAGATAGAAGTCGTAACTCTGGTTCACCGCCCTGGTGGGTCATTTCTAGTAGGGCCTTTACGGTGAAATGTGGACAGCATGGAACGGCAGGTGCCAGAGCCCTGATAAAAGGCGGTACATGAAGGGTAGGGTCAGGGTCGCAGCCAGGGTTGCGGTGTAATGATGACCCGAAGATGCAATGGTAACACTGAACAATGACACACTGTTCAGCTTTACACAAAAATCTCGTGACTTGGGATTGCGCTGAGCAACGCGCGCATGTGACGAGGGTTGCATTACAAAACGTGATCCTGGCTCACAGGCCCGAAGTGACGTCCGCTATGCGAATTCACGACGTACAAAAAATGGGGTGTACACTATCGCGAACGACACCGAAATTTTTCTGTGTTTTCGCCACTACGGTTGGTGTGCCCCCCCCCCCCCGTTTCTGGCAGTCGCTGCAAAGTTGCAGGTGACCCTCGCCACTTGACCCTATCGTTGACCCTTCCCTGTCGACCCCCAAAAATGGCCTTATGTACCACGCTCTAAGCCTGGGTCGTATCTGTTTCGCGCATTCAGATTTCCTTCGACCCATTAGCAAGTCAAATAACTGGACACTTTTTGGGTTCGCGAGAGCACAACACAATGTAACAAGCAATTTCGCGGAATGATGACCATCAAAGGCGTTACACCTGTTCCACGATTCAGTCTTTTTTTTCTTCACATGGCATGAGCCTCTAACCAGGAAATGGTCAAACTCGGGCAAAAGGGACATTATAGCCCGCTGCCCGTGTCAAAGGCAAGGGTTAGTGGAAGGGTTACTTGAGCTGAACCGAGCTGTTTGCAATCAGGGCTTATGGTTTGAGTAGCCCTCCCAACTTTCCCTGGAAACCCAATATCAAATGTGACGTCTCCCTAGTTTTTCTTGGCTGTGGCAAAAATTGCTCTTAAAATCATGGCTGGCTAATTTTTCACTCTGCTAGCTACGTAATCTGGCCTCAACAAGCATGGGGAATGAAGCGTTGGGAATCTTACCCCAAAAACGCACAGAGGACGCGTTGGAGACAGGCAATCAAGGCAAGGAGGAGGAGGGGGGTATTAGAGAAAAGTAAGCAAACTAACCACAGAGCTCCATGTAAGGTAAGAGCTCAATTAGCTTGTAGATCAACGCTAAGTTCCTAGTCAGATTCGATTTATGTAAGACAGGGCAGGGAGAGTGAAATATATTTTTATTTGTAAGGGGGGTCAAATTTTGAATACCTACGTGGAGCAGGAAATCTTGGTGAGGGAGGAATAAGGGGAAGTCAGGGGAGGAAAGGGAGGAAAGCGGGGGTAAGAGGGAGGGAGGGGTGTGGAAGGCTCCGGGTAGCCCCCGAAACTGCTTGGATGCATCAGGGATAGACAGAAAGGCCCTCGCTAGGTTCAGTGCGCCATAAATTTCCCTCTTTTATTCCTTAGGGCTGGGACGAGAAGGACCTTGAGATTTTCGAGGTCGTCACAAAATGTAACCTATAATTTTAGTCAAATTAGAAAAAAATGGTCAGATACCATACAGTATGCCCTGTGTCTGACCCCTATATGTCCTTTGTCAAATGTGGAACTTCTCGCTTTTGATTCGTGCCTGCTAAATTTTTTTATTTCCGTCTTTTCACCGCTTAGCAATATATTTCTCAAGCTTCACAAAAATCACTATTCTGTTCATATGCACTGCGTCTGAACGATTTGGGCTGCGTGCTTTAAGGTGACAAAACCACAGTACCCACTTTCATGTGGTAACATATCTCTTGCAGCCACCATAGAAGTTGCCTATGCGGCGTCCGATCTCCGAGACTCTTTTATTGCCGAAATAACATTTTACTCTTCGCTATAGTTACAAATGCAACAAATAAGATTTATAGTCAAAGCAATACATGTTGAGCATCTGGTAGATGGGATTGCATTGTGGAGTATTCTGCTCATAACAAAAACCAGGATCAGGTGTACTAAGTATACTACCGTAGCTTCAAATGATTCCCAACCTGTGCGGTATGGACGAAGTGTTGTGACGGTTTTCAGAGTTTCTCTGGGAAGGGTTTCATGGTCTTTCTCTTGTTTTAGTTTTCTGTTTTTTTCTGAGTTCCCCCTCCAATCTTTCCCACCTCCCCCCTCCCCCCACGCCCCCCCCAACTCTTTTTTCCCATAGTTGGGCGTTTTTTTTCTTCTTCATTTTGGGATTTGAGTGACGCGTTAATATTGTACAAAATTAGCCAAAACCAGCAGCCCATCGAGCCCGCCATCAAAACTGGTTGGCAGAGTGTCACGTACATAAGCGATGAGTGCAAAGGGGGGTTCTGGATGTGTTGTGGGAAGGGAATGGCTAACTAGGAGAACAACTGCCAATGGTTACAATATTCTAGCGAACGGCTTGTTTCGATGTTGCCTATTGTTTTCATTTTCCTCGATAATACCAACTTATGCTTTCATAGTTAACACCATCAGTACCAGCACCAGAATTAGCTACTACAGCAGGAGCTAGACTAAAAGCAGAATGTGTTGCAACAAGCTCTGCAGTTCGCGCAGGACTTTATCTTCAAGAGTTACTTCAAGAGGTGAAAATCGCAACGGCACGTAACTTCAACTTACTCTGCGACAACCAGAGCGCAATCAAGATTGCAAACAAGCCCGGCTTCATCAACAAGACAAACACATCACCCTCCATTACTTCTTCGTCAAGGACGAAATCGACAAAGGGAAGGTCATCATGAAATACTGCCCTACAGAAGAAATGGCCACGTCCCTGCAGCAGCAGTAGCCTCTGCTGCGGGCGACGGTAGCAGCAGAGGCAGTTTACACGAGTATGGTGGGCAGGAGAAGGGGAGGGCATAGGAGGTTACCTAGCATGGACCTCAACAATCCACCCAGGATGCCTCATTTATCCTCACCATCTACATTGTCACAACCACCACAGTCAGAGCCGCCAGTATCACAACCGCCACTGTCATACCCACCACCCTCACAATCACGAGTGGCGCCTCCCAGGACTGCAGCAGCAACACCAACATCGCCCAATGTCCCACACTCCTTCACAAACGCCTCGCCTCAACCCCACCAAGTGGCCCCTCATAGCCCTGCAACCCCTGATTTTTTCTGCCTTACCCCTGATTTTTTTTCTGATTCCCCTTCACTTCCTCCCACCACATAAGAACGCACCTGACCTGCGAAGAAGCACACTTCACCTACAGTAAAGCACACGAGCCCCACATGAAAGCACACCAGAGCTTTCTCCAGGTTATGCTCCAATCCTTTGCTCTCTTCCAAGACACCCTCCTGCCAAGCCTCAGCCAACCAAGCTATTATTATCCTTGTCATTTCCGACATTTCCAATATAAGGTGTAAAATCTTTTGCTGACTTCTGCTCGTGGTTCCACCAACTATATATCCTGGCCACCCTTAACTCGTGCTTCACTTCTACACCATCGAGCATGGGTTGCCCTACGTAAATTTACCAACCATGCACCCGAGTTTGCTGCTTGATTATGTGGCCAGCTGTCTCCCTTGCAGTAGAGTACCTTGCAAGAATTTCACTTAGCCCAGGATTCATGATAAAGATACCGTACCGCTAGAGAAACCTCTCGCCTTCCACCTCACTTTACCTATGGCTTGATGGCATGCATTTTGTTTAAAAAATCACTAGAGACTAATTATCAGTAAAGTTGGCCTGCTTGGATTTTATGGAGTAGAACCATCTGCACCATGTATGTTGGTCCTATGAAAGCTACTATGTATATGACATTCCCACAGTTGTATTCGGAACACGTAGTGACGGAAAGGCATTTTTGGGTTGCGTAGCAACCCTTTATAATCGGTCGGTGGACCGATTTCGGACGACCTGGTTTAGTCGGCCTAATCACCCGCACTACATATTGTTTCCAGGTTTAATGCGTCGCTCACTCTAAAAACACTAGTTTTTTTTTTTTCCATCTAAAATTGGTTGTCTATAATCTGAATGTTTACGTTCTCCGATAGAGAATCTCTACGTATCCATTTGTTTGTTGATTCCTTTTACTGTAACTCGGAAACTTAGCGTCTCTCAAAAGACCTTTCTAGCTTGCATAAAAAAATCTATGTTTTTTCGCAATTATTATGTGGTCTATAATGGAGACGACATAATAATTGAGCAACATAGAGTTTTGTAACGATTTTCTAAGCTTTCTATGAATGATGAGAGAGGCTCGAATCATTCGCCGTCGATAATTACGGCGGAGAATGACTGAACCACAACATCACCACCACCATTTTCAAAGCATGTACACAGAACGCATCTTACCCACACACACATGTAACAGCTTGGCTCGACACAACAACAATACAACACAACAAAAAGATCGCGAATGCAGTAAAAGAAAGCATCAATGCATTCGTGCCACATTATAGATTGACATGCCCGTTATGGGCAACGACAATCGCACATTGTATGATGCACTCGGCATAATCAGCATCGTTTCCCTGCACGCACACACAATACACAACGATGTACAACACTTGCTAACAAACAAAAACAGTGCAATAGTGACTGCAAAGGAAGAAATGCATCAATGCTTTCGTGCTACAATAGAGATTGACATGCACGGAATGAGAAGTAATTCCCCAAACCGGCAACGACAATCGCAAATTGTGTGATGCACTAGGCATAGTCAGCATCCTTCCCCTGCAAGCACAACGCAACGCAACACCGTGCAAAACACAAGCCAACAAACTGGTACGCACGTTGTCAACAATGGTACCATGCAAACGCACATACACAAGCAACGCGGCATAAAAAATCACAAAACAACAATGCAAATGCACGCAAGTCAAACACGAAGATATAATGGGTAGCACGAAAACATTACCAAGTCAACTTCAAATATCAATGAATAAATGCTTTGACTGGATTTGGAATGAGAAGTCTTGGAACGTGATGACTTGAATTTCGACGACTTGGAATGTTCTTGGAGTGTGACAAACTTGAACGTGATAACATGACTGGAGAGGATAACAAGAGGAGAAAATAAGAGGGAAGAGCTTGAGACAGTAGCAGCCAGAGACAAACTAAAGCGATTAGGTGGGGATGCGAGGGAAAAAACAGTACAGCGGAGACGAAGGCAAGAAAGACGGACAAGGAGAAGGGAGCAGCAAGTGCAAGAGAGAAGCAACCACTGAAATGAGAAGCAAACGCAGGGTAGAAACAAGTGTAGGGGAAAATCGAATACAGAAAGGAGAAGAAGGAGCAAGGGAGAGCAGCACGGGGAGGGAGAGGGTCACACAGAGGGAGGAATGAATAGGCGGAGTAAGAATGGAGAGGGGAGACCATAGGGTGGAAGAACGTGAGGAAGAATGGTTAAAAAGAGCTGAGGGGGGAATGGAGGCGAGAAGACAGGAGTGGGAAAGAATGGAGGGGAAGAACAGAGGCAAACAGACAGGGGAAGAATGGATGGAGGAAGAACAAAAAAACAGCGAGAGGGAGAGTAATGTATACCTGAGAATGGGCTGCACTTGGGCTCGTAAGAATACAGATTGCAAAGGCAATAAAGCAGAGGGGGGATGAGGTAAGAAGAACGCAAGGGGTAAAGGAAAGGGGGGGGGTGGGAGAGCGTTGGTGAGGAA